CACAGCCTAACTGTGATCAGCATCCCTGGATCACGCCAGCAGAAGTGATTGTAGGGATGTACGTTTACCTGTATGTATTTTCATCCCAATGCACCCACCTCTCACCCGTGTACATGGCCAAGTTCAAATGCTGGGTCCATATGGAAAATTTGGCGTTATGTAGAAGTGAAGGATTATTATATCATTACCTAGCTGCCCAAGTACATCATTACATCAAAGCTAAATTACATCATTATACAACTGATAGACCACTGAGAATCATGGTCCAGACAAGCTGACACAGCACCTTAACCGTCACAGCCAGCATCACTCGGACCTTCCCTCCATGTGTGCTTGCTCTTTGGTGCCTGAGCTGTTCCTTTATATAGCTCAAAAGTGAGTGGATTTACAACACACTCTGCACTGATATGGCCTCATTGACAATGAAATCCCTATTCCCAAGTGGGATGCATCCACAGCGTAGGGTTAGGATTTACAACACACATTTTTGAGGGACACAATTCAACCCATAACACCTATATCTTGGGAGGAGGGGAATTAATGTAAAGTTCCCATAAAACGATTCCAAGAACTCCAAGGGGGTCTCAAGATGAGAAGAATCAATTTGAGCTGCATGTTCTGATTTCTGCACGTTCCCAAGGAGCACTGGTCTGACACTATGGACTGGAAGCCCCTGTGGGAGAAGCCACCTGTAGTTCTGAGTCAGGCTTTAATGGAGGACAAAGTGAATGTGCCCCACACAGTTGTGACTTGAAAGGCAAAGGTGAAACTACAGTGGCCCTAAAAGAGCCGTGGGCTGTGGGTGTCGGTGCAGCAGTTGGCAGGCCTGCAGGGATCAAACAAGCCCAAGGATCAGCAGCCACACTGTGTGCCAGCAACTCAAGCATTCGTTCCAACGAACCTCAATACTCTCCACCTTGTGGGGGAAGCAGGACTGGCTGGCCCTTTGGACTGAATGAGCTTCTAGAGAACAAGGACGCCAAGAGGGAGGTGCTGGACCCACCTAGAAATGGCAGGTGGAGTGATACAAAATACCTGCAATCCTTCCAGAAACAATAGAAGACAGACAGAGTCATCCCTCACAGACACCCAGACGCTATGGGAGAGAGATCCAATAGATCTACCGTCTCAGGACCATAGTACTGGGGGACACCAGGCTCAATTGACACAACAAAATACATAAAAGCCTTGTTCTGCATTCTACATCGGTGATTACAACCGGGGTCTTAAAAGCTTTCAAGTGGCCGCCTAAGATGCAGCTAATGGTCTCCTAGCATCACAACCATCGAAGAGTGCAAAAAACAAGGGCATTTGGAAGCAATCAACCCTAGGACACAATGGCCCTCGAAGCCAGAAGAACTAGATGGTGCCCAGCTACCAATGTCCATCATTGGACAGGAAAGGATCGCACTGGAGATCCTGGATAGAGGGGGAGGAAAATGTGGAACAAAGTCCGAAAACTCAATAATGACCAGAATTGCTGGTCAGATAGAGTCTGATGGGACCTCCAATACTATGGCCCTGGAATACATTCTGCGCCTGGAATAAAATGTACCCCTAGGGGCTGGCTCTCAGCCCAATTGTTAACAAGATGTACACACAGACCACTCTACCCAGGATGATGCACCCACATACTCTATGGTAATACATCCCTTAGAGCAATAGACTACGGGACACCAGAGGACCAACTTCAAATTGAGGATATGCAGGACAAACAGGAGTGCATAAATATGAGGGGTATAGGGGGAGGGTTACAGGGTAGTGGGGAGAGGAGACTGGGTTAGGGTTGGACATGGTGAACGGGGAGTGAAACTCAATGTCCATGTAACGCTGAATGTAAAACAAGCTCTTAAAATTAAAAAACAAAAAATTTCACATTAAAAGAAAAGAGAGAAATGGCAGGTGGTAGTAACTGAAGAAATAAAGGAATGAAGACCTTAATTTTTATTTGTTTTGTTTTTATTTTAAAAAAAAACCTTTTTCTTGTGATTTGAGTGGAAGTTTATATAGCACACTGCTTTTCTGCTCCACAGTTCATACACATTTGGTTTGTGACACTGGTTGCAATCCCCACAGTGTAACGGCTCTCTTCCCACGTCCTCCCTGTTTCCCATTTCCCGTTGACCCTCTGTCCTATCACTTCATGCCTTCCGAGCTTTGTCCCTGACAAATGGCCCCCTTTTGGTCTCATTTGTTGCATTGTTCTAAGGTCTACATCCCTCCCTGATGTTACTGTTCACATTTGAAGCCTATCATTTCGCTGAAATTTGAGCCACAGAGCTGAGTTCAGTTCCAGGCTTGAAGGGCATCTGCACGACCTTATTTTCAATTCGACTGGAGAAGAGGCATTCACAGGTCACCTACAGTAGTAACGAGGGGTGCAGACGAAGAAGGAAACCCACAGGTGTTGCCAGCAGTGTTATTTATAGTAGAGACACTTGAAGATACTCAGAGTTGGAGAAACATAAATTGAATTACAAACAAGTGATAAATTACTATTGAGCCATTAAAATCACATTCCAAGACCTTTACTGACATGTGAAGAAGGAAGTGGAAAAATCAGGATACAGAATGATATAAATAGATTACAGTCAGCTTTTATAAAACTATGCCCATAAATATCTAACTACAGATATCTTGAGGAGCGAGGTTGCAGGTTATTTTAATCTTCTTTGTGATGTTTGATATTCCATAGTGTGTAGGTTTTACATTTGGAATAGCAAAATGTTGTATTTTAAAAACTGTTTCTAAAAGAAGAAATGAAGGTACTATTCATCTACACTTTTTTTTTTTTTCAGTCTACGTTGATTGTTGCCGTTGGCCCAGGAGCAGTGCCAGCCATGAGAGACACAGGGAATAGCACGTGCAGTTGGACCTAGAGACTCGTGATCTGTAGAGGGAAAGAGGAGAAAGGGAAAGGCTTACAGTACAAAGTGCAGTGAGCCCAAAGGAAAACAGACCGTGGGTCCCACAGAGGGGTCCAATGGCTCCATGGAGGAGGTGACCTTTGACTTGGTTCTTGAAGGTGTGGAGTCGGGAAGGGATTGGCAGCCTGAAAACAAAGCAAAGACAATTGGCCAGGGCAGATAACACAAATATTGATTTACTCCCTTGATATCAAAGACATGACCCCTGCTGGACCCGCCCCCAAAGGCAGACAGCCAAGCCAGAGGGTCATGAACGGTTTCCACCGTTCTGTGCTTCTTCGCCTGTTGGTGCTCTGGGCCACAAAGCCCACCAGGCCCTCTGCTTCCATTGAAAGGATTTTACCCACTTGGGTCTGCACATTTCGCCCTGCCATCCTTTTGTCTAAATCACAGGAGTAATTTGTGAGACATTTTGAGACCCAAAAAACTCATGACTTACCATCATGAGGACATATAAAGGAGTATAAGGTACACCAGTGGTTCTCAACCAGACTGCACATTCGGATCACCTGAGAATTTCCTTAAACGGTCAGGGTCACCCCACCCCAGAGATTCTGACTTATTTGGTCAATACTAGGCACTGGACATCAGGGTGCATGAAAACCTTCCCAGGTGATTCTAATGTTCAAAAATACTTTAGTTTGTGTCCGTCCTAACAGAACACCTAAAAAGGAAAATGTTGGATGTGAAATAATTCAAAAGGTAGTAATCCAAAAGAAAGGCCTTGGATACACTTCAGGCCTGGAATAAAACTCACTCCCAGGGACTGGCTCTTAGCCCAAGAGTAAATAAGACATACACGCAGACCTTTCAACCCAGGGTGACACACCCACATACTCTATGGAAGTGCATCCTTTGGAGCAATTGACCACGGGGCACCAGAGGGCAAGATTCACAGGCAGGAAATGCAGGACACACGGGAGGGCATAACTATGTGGGGCACGGGTGGCAGTTACTGGGCAGGGAGGGGAGGAGAGTGAGTTAGAGTTGGGGATGGTAATTGGGGAGAGAAACCAAATGTACATGAAATGTTGAATGTAAAACAAACTCTGCTGTATATACTTGCACCCATAACACAATTTTAAAAAGAGAGAGAGAGTCTGAGATAGAGAAAAGAAAGAGAAATCTCCTCACGTGGCCCAGACAGCAAGGTTACTGGTCAATCCCAGTCTACTGCTAAATAAGAAATGATAGCCTTCGGTGTGCCCCTTTCACTACATTTGTTTCTAGACTGGCTTCGACTGAACGACTGTTACCTTATACCAATTGGTGACAAAGACCTTTGCTTGGGAATGAGATTCAGCTTTGATGTTTTCATCGGGTAGAAAACCTCTTTCTGCCGATCAGTGTTCGTAGAGCCCCTTTCAAGTCCTTGTTCCTGAGGCTGTAGATGAACGGGTTCATCATGGAGGTCACCACTGTGTATAACACAGTAGCTGCGGTGTCTGTCTCAGCTGAGTGGGTGGATGAAGGGTTGAAATACACAGCAATGATGGTGCCATAGAAGAGGGAAACCACAGCCAGGTGGGAGCCACAGGTGGAGAAGGCCTTCCATTTCCCCTTTGTGGATGGGACTCTCAGGACTGCACAGGCAATAAAGATGTAGGAGATGAGGATGCAGATGAATGGTGCGATCATTAACAGCCCTGCTACAAGAAGAATCAGCATGTCATTGATGTACGTGTCAGAACAGGAGAGTTTCAGGAGAGGAAGCACATCACAGAAGAAGTGGGCGATCGTGTTGTCTGCACAGAATGAGAGTTGAGCCGTCAGCAGGGTGTGCAACAGAGCAGGCAGATTGGCAATGACCAAGCACCCAGCAACGAAGAGGACACAGAGCTGAGGGGTCATCTTTGTTGTGTAGTGTAAGGGGTGACACACAGCCACAAAGCGGTCATAGGACATCACGGCCAGGAGGAAGTTGTCCATGTAGGCAAACACAATGACAAAATACAGCTGGGTCAGACATGCTGAGAAGAAGATGGCCTGACTCCCAACTACATGGTTTTGCAGCATCTTGAGGACAATGGTGGAGGAGAAGCAGACGTCCACGAAGGACAGGTTGCTGAGGAAGAAGTACATGGGGGTGTGCAGGCGGGAGTCTGTGCTGATGGCCAGGAGGATGAGCACGTTGCCCAGGACCGTGGCCAGGTACATGCTCAGGAAGAGCACGAAGAGGAGCTGCTGCTGCTGGGGCTGCCTGGAGAGCCCCAGGAGGAGGAACCCGGAGACGCTCGACTGGTTTTCTCCTCTCATGTGCATGGAGCCAGGTTAATGCAATACAGCAACTTTAGAAACCTAGATGCAGAGGCTTGAAATGGGGCAAATCAAGTTGCAGGTCAAGCCATGCTTGCAACCTAGTTAATAGTGTCGCTAGAATAGAATCCGCCAGTCCCAACTATACACGCAGCTTGCTACCCTCAGTCCTGGTGCTGCTCATACTGTAATCACTGGCTCTTATTTTGCATGGTGAACATTGAAAAACACACAGACCTATGCACAGACCAACTCTATTTCTGTGCTTCCATTTCCCAGTTTGCACCCCCAAGTCCTTCATCACACCTACAAAGACAAGAGAAACTGCTGATCATGCCTGGGTTTATCACAAGTTCGAGCTGATGGATGCAGGCCTCCTACTCTCCTGCTCCTGGATGTGGAAGAACGTCATGTCTTCATGGACAAAAATGTCTCCTCTGCTGTAACCATACCTGGGGAGGTTGATTCTGAGCTGTGTGTGTGTTCTTCACCTCCGCATAACAGGCCAGTGCTTCTCTTTATTGTGGGTGTTGGAAATTTTGGGGAATATAGGCAGATCCTGAGCAACTGAGTAGCAGGGGTTCAAGGTCATGGTCCTCTGGGTAGGAAAGGATCACAGAGGAAGCATTTACAAGAGCCTCCATAGCCACTGGGACTAGATTCCCTGAGAGCCTCATTAGAGACAAGAAGAGAGTAATGATCCAACCCATCTTTTGGCCCCTTTGGACCACACGGTGATGACAAACATTACCTTCGGTTTATATGTAACATTTGGGTCAAAATTGAAAATATTAGACCTGGAGCCATCTTAGTGGAGACAAATCCCAGACCAAATTCCCTGGGCCTTCCAGCCTCATCACCTTGATCTTCTAGTTCTGTGTCCACAGATGTGGAAATTCAGTTATTAAATTCTTTTTCTTCTCACTACCTGTGTTCACATGGGCATCGTTAGGGATGGTTAGTGATACCTGTGTTCCCCATTTTGCAGAGCAGAATGTAGGGGAATCATAACACTTCTGGACTTAGCCCATAAAGCCATTTGGGATAAAGGATACTCTAAAGTGGCGGGTGTGGGGTTCACCTAGAGGAGAACCCAGCATGTTTTGTTTTATGAACTCAAGACCCTTCAGGGATTTCTTTCCAACCCACATATTTTATCCTTTTCTCAGTGTGCAACCCCCTAATCTACATAGTCATGGTGGTGAGCCCCCAGCAATCATGTTAATACTACACCCTCTCCCCCTTTGACGTAGCTGAATGGACCAGGGTGTTTGGACCTGGGATTAGGGAACAGCCAGCCCATATCACTCGGTGGCTTGCCTGGAATGTGTGATCCCACCCCTTTCCGGCTGCCTCTTTAGCTGCCCATGGCGCGAGGACAGAGAGGGCCTGCAGAGAGCGGCTGAAGAAGGAAGGGCACAGGGAGCAGACAGCAGTCAGAGCCCGTCCTCCTGCTGTGCCAGTTCTGGGTTGTAGTCCTGTTTTGGGTGTTGGCTGCATTTCAGCATCTTTCAGAAAGAGGTCTTAGTTCTAAATAAGAAGACTCATATCTGAAAAATGTAGGAGAAGAGGAATTCATGGAAAGAATATTGAGGAAGATTAGACAGGAAGCTGGGGGACAGTGTGTTTATATTAATGGCAGGGAGTGATTCAGAAAAGAGGGTGCAAACGGGTGCACAACTTGAATGGAATCGTGTCACAGGACAGTCTCTGTAGAAGTTGCTGATTTGGTGTCTGTGTAGCTGTGTGTGTTTTCAAGAACAATGTTTCAAAAGTGAAGAAGAAAGTACCGAGTCCCAAAAGGACCAAGACTGTATGATCTTACTTGCATGAAATAAGCCAACATCTAGAAACCAAAGATTATTAGGGGTTCCCCGGGGCAGTCAAGAGGGGAGAAGGGTTTTGGTTCATGGTGGTAGAATATCTGGGAAAGGAAGGGTGGGGATGGCTGCACTTGGTTGTCATCACCATCACTGAGTTATACATGGAGCGAGCGTTCGAGTGGGACGTGTTTTGTTGTGTATGCTTCCACCACAACACTCCCGCTCCTCCTTGTGGACATGGCTGGGTTTCCAAGAGCAGGGCATTGTGGAGAAGCATTCCAGCTGCACTTCTTCCAGGACAGATTTGTTCGTTCTTCTGGCAGTCCACAGAATTTTCAGTATTCTTCGCCTCTCCCTGGGTCGAGTGGATAGGATTTGGCACTTTCACTGCCACGGCCAGGTTCAATTTCTAGTCAAGGAAGTCAGTTTCCCGCAGCCCTTTGTTTTTCTGTATGTATTGTTGATGCTGTTGGAAATATGCACAGCGAAACATACACCAACTTAACCATATCTCCATGTACAATATGTTGGTGTTCACTACATCCTTTGAATGGTGCAGCCATCCTCATCCTCCATTTCCAATTTGTTCCTCCCGTATTGAAAATAGAATGCTTCTTGGAAGTGAGAACGGCCAGACTTTGGCTCACCTAATTTGGTCATGTTGTCAGATGGGACCCTTCCCTGGAGAACCTCTGCTTGGTTAAGCAGAGGGTCAGTGAAAAAGGGGAAGGCCCTCAGCGAGACGGGTTCACACAGTGGCTGCAGTGATGGGCCCGGGTACAGCGAGGACTGAGGCTGCACAGGGCCGGGCAGTGCTTCTTTCTGCTGTGCACAGGGTTGCCGTGAGTCGGAGCCACCTCGATGGTATAGAACAGCAGCAAAACAACACAGACGTTAAGAGGCAAAAAGCAGTAACAGGGACAAGTCCACTCTGTTACCAGAGGCACAATCTTTCATGGCAAGATAACGTTCAGAAGCCCTTGATGCCCTCCATAACCCAACATCAAATCAAAGAGTAAACACCGTTGACACGTAGAAATAAAATAATTGCACTGTCACTTATAAGATGGTATAGATCTCACAACCTGGTGAATGCAGGTAATGTCACTGAATGAGACACTCAAAAATGGTTAAAAAGGCAAATGTGTTGTTGTATAAATTTACCACAATAAAAATCAAAAACGCAAGCAAACAAAAAAGACACTACAGACTAAGTATTATGTTGGAATTTCCGGATCCGTTTACTTGAATGTAGCTATTGGGAAAGCTCTGGTAGCGTAGTGCCTAAAGCACTTGACTGCTAACCAGAAGGCTGGCGGTTCAAACCCACCGGCCGCTCCTCGGAAGGAAGATGGGGCAATCTACTTCTGTAGTGATATCGCCTCGGAAACCCAAGGAGGGGACGCTATGAGTTGGGTCCGACTCGACGGCACACAACAACAACAACAACATTGTCTTAGTTGGCTAGTGCTGCTGTAACAGATACCACAAGGAGATGGCTTTGACAAACAGAAAGCTACGTTCTCACAGTTCAGAGGCTCTAAGGGAGGTCTTATCTCTCTGCGGTCTCTGGGGGGCGAACTCCTGCAGTTTCCATAGACCTGGGTTCCTTGATTCCTTGGCGATCTCCTCGTGGCATGGCCCTTCCCCTCCACGTGTGCTGCTTTTCTGTGCCTGTCTGTTCCCTTTATAGCTCAAAAGTGAGTGGGTTTAAAACACACCCTACAGTCGTTGCATACGGCTTCATTAACAAAGAAAACCCTACTCTCCAATGGGATTACAGCCACAGATAGAGTGATAGGATTTACAGCACACTTTTGGGAGACACAGTTCAATCCATAACAGCTACGTCTTTTGTGTTGGGGGGGTATCTGATTGATGTCAAGTTCACCTAAAAATATCCCAGGGACCAAATGCAACCTCAAAATGAGAAGGGTAACTCTGAGCTGGGCGTTCCAAAACCTGGGTGTTCATGGGAAGGGCTCATTGACACAGTGAGACTGGAAGCCACCGACGGCTCAGAGTTTGGCTTTAATGGAGGACAAAATGAAGGTGACCTTTGACTTGATTCTTGAAGGTATAGAGTGGAGAAGGTGTTGCTAGCCTGAGAAAAAAGGCTTTTTTCTCAGGCTAGCAACACCTTCTCCACTCTATACCTTCAAAAAGAGTTGGTCTGGACGGAAAGAATAGAAAATAGTGATTTATTTCTCTGATTTTAAAGACTTGACTCCACTGGACCCACCCCCAAAGTCAGGCAGCCAAGCCAAAGGATCATAGATGGTGTCCCTGATTCTGTTCTTCCTGGTGCACGGTGGTGTAATGCACACCAGGACCTCCGCTTCCATTGAAATGTCTGTGCCCACTTGAGTCCTCAGATTTTGCCCTACCAGTCTTTTGTCTGAGTCTCAAAAGCAATTTGTGAGAGTTTTTGAGACCCAGGCTTTGTGAGTGACCCTCAGGAGGATGAGGTTGACCAGTGGTTCTCAAGCTGACTGCACATTAGTATCACCTGAGAATTTTCTTAGACTATCAGGGTCACCCCACCCCAGAGATTCTCATTTAGTTGGTCAGTACTGGGGACTAGACTTCAGGGTATTTGAAAACCTTCCCAGGTGATGCTAATACTCAAAAATACTTCAGTATGTGTCTATCCAAACAGAACACCTCAAAATGAAAATGTTGGATGTAAAACAATTCCAAAGGTAGCAATCCCAAAGAAGTCTCCTAACCTGGCACACACAGCAAGGTCACAGGTCAGTCCCAGCCTACTGATAAGTAAGTGATGTTAGCCTTCTGTGGGCCCCTAGCACCATGTTTGTTTCCAGACTAGCTTTGACAAAACAATGGTTATCTTATGCTCAATGGGTGAAACAGACCTTGTCCTGGGTGTGATACTCACCTTTGATGATTTCATCAGGTAAGAAACCTCTTTCTGCCAATCAGTGTTCGTAGAGCCCCTTTCAAGTCCTTGTTCCTGAGGCTGTAGATGAACGGGTTCAGCATGGGGGTCACCACTGTGTACATCACAGTTGCTGTGGTGTCTGTCTCAGCTGAGTGGGAGGATGAAACTTTGAAAAACACAGCAAAGATGGTACCATAGAAGAGGGAAACCACAGCCAGGTGGGAGCCACAGGTGGAGAAGGCTTTCCATTTCCCCTTTGTGGATGGGACTCTCAG